CCAAGGGAGTCTTCCAGGATGGTAACACTATTCCACAGGAGCTGTTGTGTCCAATTACCTCTGAGAATGAGAACTGAGGCAGTTGGACTAGGGCTGGAGAACACAGGGATGGAGTGACTACCTGGGCAAAGCCTGGTCTCCTGATTGGTAGCTGTGTGGCTTAAAGTGAGTAAATTAACCTCTCTGTGGTTAAGGGTTCCTCCTCTTTAAAGTAGAGAAAAAGTAGTATTTGCCTCCTTATTTTGAGGATTAAACACTTACAGCATGTATGATACTTGTTTTTAGTGTAAAACACTTACAGGAGGCCCTGGCACTTAGGAAGTCCTACATTTATTTTATTATCATAATAATATAATTTTGAAAGGAAGTATGATGGACAGGGGAAGCCCTGCACTTTGGAATGAGTTAGAATTGGATTCAAATCCTGCGCACCAAGCCTTTGCATCAACAATGGTAAAAATAGCCAGGCATGGTAGCACGCTCCTATAATCCCAGCACTTTGGGAGGCTGAGGCAGGAGGATTGCTTAAACCCAGGAGTTCAAGACCAGCCTGGGCAATATAACAAGACCCTTGTCCCTAAAAAAACAAACAGTGTATTTAAAACAAGGCCAAAAAAAACCCTCCCCTGCAGAGTTGGAGTGAGAAATTAAATAACATTTGTTTATGTGCCTAGTTCTGTACCTGGCATACAGTAGTTGTTCAAGAAATACTAGTTCCTGTTTCCCCTTCCCTGGTACCAGTGTTTCATCACTGTGCTAAGAGATAGGGATACAAATATGAATGAGGTGTAGTCCCTGTCTGCAAATGGGTCATAGTCCAGCAGTAAGGCTTGGACACAAACTATGACAAGGACTATCAAAGAGGTATCAATCTTCCAAGATGTGATGGGATCATAGGAAAAGCATGACCCAAGTTTGTCTGGGAGAATCAAAGAAATCTTAACCTAGGAGGCAATGCATAAGCTGAGATTTGAAGAAAGAACAGAATTTCACTAGGCTGGTCAAAGTACTGGTCAGAGAAGAGAGTGGGAGTATTTCAAGTTGCATAGAGAATGTGCTGCATACAGGTGCCATAAAGAGAGCCATCAATCATTGCTTGGAGTCACTAGCTGCCCATGTGTCTTTCTCTAGATTTCTGTGTCAAGGCCCCTTGGGGCCTGAGCAGGCTACCCCTCCTCTCCCTGAAAGAGCTTCCATCTGGAGAATTAACAGGAAACCTCATGGCAGAGAAGACACTTGGTCAATCAAAAGTAGCACATGCACATTTCAAGGGGGAAATAACTAGGAAAGAGCAAGCCCACAACAGCTGAACACATCGGAAACATAAAATGTTTTAAAGGCTTTTATAAAATAGAGCTTCATGCCACTCCAGAGTTATGATGCTGGAAGATGGCACATGCTTGTCCTGGTTGCTTCATCAGTAACTGCACTGAGGTCACTAGGTCACCCCACCTTGGCCAAGACACGGGTCACTGTGGCATTTCCAGGACCCTTGAGACCAGGCTGGGAGCACCGGAGTATGAGCCTTTGGTAGAGGCCGCAGTACAGCAGGCAGTTTCAGAACCCTCCCCTCAAAGCCAGCAACAGACATCTTCAACCAACCAAACCCAAAGCAAACTGTCATCAATGACCAATTGCAAAAGGTTTTTCCCCAGATGAGTGAGAAGGGCTTCCAGGTGTGTGTGTGTGTGTGTGTGTGTGTATGTGTGTGTGTGTTGTGTATGTTACATGTATGTGTGTTGTGTGTAGGTATTATGCAGTATGCATTGGGTATATGTGCATTTGGGTGTATATGTTGGTATACATGTATGTTCATGTATATGTGTGTAGTGTGTGTGTGTGTGTGTTTGTGTATATGTGTGCTTGTACATGTGTGACTCTGTGGATGTATGTATGTGGGTGAGTGGGAAATGAGGGGCTCAGAGGTCCTCTTCTCCAGAGACCAGCTGCAGGAAGTCATCACGCTGCAGGGGTGCCCTCAGGTCAGTGGGGAGGGAAAACCCACCCCAGCACTGCTTCTCTCCTGCTTTGAAACCCACAGCTCATTCAACAGATCTGGCCAAATCGCCCCTAATTCATCATTACAAAGAGGGTAAAACTCCTTTCCTCACCCAAATCTCTGCTTCTCCAAGCCTCCTTTCCCCCAAAGGATACACACTTCGGTTCTTCTTCCACTGGAGCGTCCTCCCCCCTTTGAAGTCCCTTCACACTGCCTCCCCCACCAAATTCTACTCTCTGGATAATGTCTGGAAAACGCCTTTATCTCATGGAGTAATGGGGCTCCAAGTGTTCCCTGCCCCAGCAAGGCCTCAGTGAGTCAACTATTTGGGAAACATGGGTAGAGTCCTACTGTGCACCCTACATGCCCAGCCAGCCACAAGAGCAAGACTCCCACCCTGCCCTCAAGGTGCTTGGTCGGGAGAATGAAAACTGTAAGGCCTTGTGGTGCAGTAGAAAGAGCTAGAGCTTTGGGGACCTGGGTGCTGAATCCAGATCTACCACTTACAGGCTGTGTGACCTTGGGTAAGTACTTGGCCTCCCTAATCTCACCTCTGAAATGGAGCTAGCAGTGCACTATGTGTCTCATCCATCCTCCCAAACAAGTCAAGGCAAAATATTAAATATTAAAAAGACCAAATCAAAGAGTCTAAAGTGCCCAGAGGTTAGTGGGATATCCTGGGCCCATCCAGGATGGAAGGGTGACATTATCAGACAACCAGTGGGCTGCCAGATCCCAGCGAGGGGAATGGGAAAGATGGAGTCTCCTGTCCCTGGAAGTCCCACTCCTCCTTCCCACTCTCTTGGAGAGCTGTGCTTGGCAGACTGGGCCAGGGCTGAGCAATAGGCACTTCCAGGGAAGGGGCTGGGGCACACACGGAATGCCCCTAAGAGGCTGAGGGGAGGATTGTCCCACTGAACCTACCCTGCTCGCAATGCCTCAACACACATACTCATTACATACACACACACATACACACATGCACATACACACACACATAAAACACACCACATCTAGAAACCCTGATATCCACCCACACATCAACACATCCATTTCAAACCCAGGACTCACTAAGTGCGTGCACACACACGGAACATACATGTCACCATAGACATTACATCCCGCATGCACCACACTCTAATGGCCACAGCACGCCACCCGCAGACATGCTCACATTCAAGAGTTTCACAGAAATGCCCATTCACACATACACAATGCACATCCTACGCACACCCAATACTTGGCACCACACTCGCAATCGTGTTCAAATGCCCACACTACACAGCAACTTGCTCTCTCCACAGCCCCTCTCACACACTCAGGAGTCCTCTCACCCCTGTCTACACTGCGGCCACATCAACACAATGGTTATACTACTTCTTATCTCTCCCACAAGCCCACACACAGGAGCACATCTGTACAGCGCATCCCCATCCCGCTCCCCACCACACCCCACCCCCGCACCCGGCCGACTCCAGCAAGAGGCTTCCCGCTCGGTGTGCAGCGGCCACAGTGGCCAGGAATTAAAATGCAGCGAGGAGGAGCCGGGCGCGTCAGCACCGCGTCTCCAGGAGCGCACGGCGCTCACGGTCGCCGCCGCCCCGCCCGCCCCGAGCCGCGGGGCCAGCGAGCGGAGGAGCAGGTGCTCGGAGCCCAGCCGCGCCAGCGTCGCGCGGCCGCTGCCCAAGTTCGCCTGGGGCCCGAAGAGGGTTCTCCCAGGCAACCGGGGAAGGAGCTTAGCCGGCGTCACGGCCACCGTGAGCTCGGAGTCTTGAGAGGAGAAGGGCGCGCGGAGCAGCGAGTCCGGGTCACCCCCGGGAGGTGTTGGCGGGGCTCGGCAGTCCCCAGCTCTTGTCGCCGCCGGGGCAGAGAGAAGAGGCAAGAGACAGCAAGGCCGGGCTTTTCTGGAGACGCGAGGCACCTGGGAGAGCTGAGGCGAGAAGCGACACTTCCCTGCAGCTTGCATCCTTGAAGGGGCCCGGCGGCGAACAGCCTCCCGCAGGACGCCCTGAGAAGCTCTCAGCCCCAGGCGAGAGCGGGCGCCTGGCAGGACTTAGGCGCGGGACTTGGGGAAGCCTAAGCGGGTCTCTGCCGAGCGCAGCCCGGGGAGCAGTGACAAGGAAGGGTCCTGGAGGGCAAGGGAAAGAAGGCGGCAGCCGGCAAGGCGACCACTCACCCCCGTACACACCCACCCCGCCCGCCCAGCCAGGAGCTGCGGTGCGCCTCTGGGGGCGCTCGTTCCTTGGCGCCTTCTCTCCCGTGTCCCAGCACCGCTGGGCTACGGGCCGGGCTGGTGGGATCCCTGGGGATGTCCAGATCAGGCATGGTGGCCGAGTGGCCCTTCTCCCAGGACCAGCGTAAAAGCTGGGGTTAAGCGGGGCAGGGGGGACTCGGCTCAGGGTCCCCCGAGGTCCAGGACGAGGGGAGGCGGGCGCAGCACCCAGGGACTGGAGAGGCGGCTCCCTGTGGGACCCCTCCAGAAGTAGTGCCCGGCGCCGGGCATCCTCCAGGAAGACCAGGGACCGGGAGAGTCTGGGAGGCGCTCGGGAGAGGCCACTGCCAGGAGCTGCGGGCTGAGGCGGCGCTCAGT